GGCGCGTCGCCCCGGATGTGGCTGTGAGGGCCCAGCTGGCCCCGGGTGTGTGTGCAGGACCTCACGTCTGCAGCGTAGCCCCTGGCCGGGTCTCGAACCTGTTACTCCAAGAAGACGGAGTGCCCGCGGCCCCCTCCTAGTTACTCTCGTGGGGAATTCCCTGAGGGGGCGAGTGCTGAGCTGCGACATTCCCAGGATGTCTCAAGGCCCGCGCTGCAGCCAGGCAGGGCAAGGCCATCCCTCGCCCCACGTGGGCGGGTGGCCCTCTCCCCCTCCGGCCTGACCAGTCTGACCACGTTGCCCGAGGCCGCCCCGGAACCCTGCCCTCCAGCCGCCTGCAGGGCCGCAGCTTCCACTTCTCTCCCCTGGGTCTCTTGCCGGACTCAGGGTTCCCAGTCCTTTCCTCCTCCTGCCCCAGGGGCTGCGGGTCCGAGAGGCACCGAATGAAGGTATTGCAGGGAGCAGGGTGGGGAAATGAGCTGATACCAAGGGCTCAAGTTGAAAGAAAATGTTTTGAAAATGATGATGGCAACATGTGTACAAATGTGCTTGACACGATGGATGGATGGAGATAAGCGCTGTAAGAGCCCCCAATAAAATAATTTTGAAAAAAGGAAGTACGAAGACAGGAGCAAAGTGAAAGGATTTAATGACGCTGGAGCCGGTGGAGGTAGAGGTGGGGGAAGGGGGTGGGGACGGCCTGAGGGTGCAGGGCCCCCAAGGCAGGCCTGGGCCATCAAAGCGTGTGAAGCTCGTGACTCTGCCGGCGCAGCTTCTCTGGGTCATCCGATGCCATGAGGGAAAAGTCACGGAAGATGTCCAGATACGTCTCATCTCCTGAAGGGAAGGGAGGAAGGGCTGGGGTGCCAGAGGGCTGGGCTCCAGCCCTGGAAAGGGTGCTGGGGACAGCAGGGCCTGGTGTGGTAGGAGGCAGAGTGGAAGGGACTCCTGCGTCCTGAACACAGCCCCCTCGTCTAATCGTTGCCCTGCCTCCGGGAAGCCTGCACATTGGATGCATCCCATTCGCTGGCTGGATACGCTGAACAAGGCAGAAGCCGGGTGCTGGACCTGGGGTGGATACCGTACCTGCCTGGCCCTGGGCTGCTTCGGCCTCCCTCATCTTTGCTAATCGCAGCCTGAAAAGAAGCGGATTATAGAGTGACTGGCTCTCTCCCGCCTGCCACATCCCTTCCTTTAGCTGGGTGGTGCTCGCTCCATTCAGCGTTGCCCCAGGATCTGGTACTTCAAAGGTGCCAGATGGCAATGCTGAGGCACAATGCTGCTCCTCACTCAGGATGAGCTCACCAGCCTCGAACCCGTGTCCCCCACCCCCCACCTTCCTATTACACAATTCACCCTGGTCACATCCTTTCTCTTGTCCGGTGGGCAC